CCTTCTGGGGAGACAGAACCTTGAAAACTCAGAGGAAAGTTAGAGATCCTTTCTTTAAAAATTCATTAAAAAAAAAAGATTGGAGAAAGGAAAGGATATTTGCCCACACCACTTTTATTTCACGTCGCACTGGAGGTTCTAACCAATGCAACTAACCAAGGATAGAAAGACAAAAGGCATATCGACTGAAAAAAATAAATAAATAAAACTGTTTTTATTGGCATGCAACTTGATTGTGTATATAAAAATCCTATGAAATCTATAAAAAAGCAATTAGAAACATGTGAGTTTCACTAGTTAATAGTATACAAGTAAATATACAAAAATCAGTATATCAACATGACTCTTTAAAATAGTAATAAACAATGAGAAATAAAAATTTTAAAACCACTCACAATAGCACCAAAAGACATGAAATATTTAAGGATACATTTAACAAAATACATGGAACACATGTACATAAAAAACTAGACAGCACTATTGAGAGAAATTAAAGGAGGCCTAAAGAGACATACCATGACTGTGCATTAAAAGTCTTAACATTGTTAAGGTATCAATTCTAAGCTGATCTATGTAATCTCACTCAAAATCCCAAAAGGTATACACTAATAAACTGACTGCCCTGCAGATGCTGTCCTGGACCTGCCAGCAGCACAGATGCAGATGCTCTGCTATGCCTGTAACATCAGGGCAAAGTGAAAGTGGCTATTTCTACACTCAGTGTTCAGAAAACAGTGAACAAGAATGGATAACAGCCTGACATTTCTTAGGAGAAAAACAACAACAACAAAACTGAGTCTAACATTTATGTGGAATTGCAAAGGACCTAGAACAATTTTGAGAACATAGTTGAAGGACTTATACTACCTGATAATTTTAAGACTTACTATAAAGTTACAGAAATCAAGAGTGTGTCATGAGTGAGAGGACAGATACCTAGATTAATGGAACAGAATAGATTCTAGATAGATTCACATGCTATATACACGGCTGACAGGTTTTTAACAATGGTGGCAAAGTAATTCAATGGGGAAAGGAAAATCTTTTTAACAAACGGTGCTGAAAAACTAGATATACATATTTTTTAAATAAACCTTGACATTTACCTTCCACCATACAGAAAAACTAAATGAAAATGGATCATAGATTTAAATATAAAAGCTGAAATTATAAAACTCCTAGAAAATAACACAGGAGAAAATCTTTGTCATCTTAGGATGAACATATATTTTGTTGACATGCAACACAACTGTATACATAAAAAATCATGAAATGATACACAAGAAGCATAAATCATAAAAAAAGTAAACTAAATTTCATCAAAATTAAAACTCTCTGCTCTTCAAAGACATCATTAAGAAAATGACAAGGTAAGCCACATACTAAGATAAAATAGTCACAACACATATATTTAACAAATTCAGTATCCAGAATATATAAATAACTTACAAATCAATAAAAAGAGTTAAGGGGCAGAATATTTCAACCAAGCCTTTATCAAATAAAATATATAAGTAACAAATAAAAATATCAAAACACAGGGGACATCACTAGTCACAGGAACATGCAAATTAAAACCATCATGAGATACCACTACTACACATCGGTTAGAATGGCTAAAATTAAGAAGAATGAAAATACTAAGTGTTAGAAGGGTGTGGCAAAAGTGGGACTCTCACAATGCAAAATGGTTCAGTCATTTGAAAAACTGTATGGCAGGTTCTTATAGTTACATTTACCGTATGACCAGCAATTCCACTCCACCCAAGAGAAATGAAAACATATGGTTACATAAAGATCTGTGAACCCATGTTCATAATAGCTTTACTGATAATAAAAAAACTGGACACAGTCCAGTTGTCCATTAATAAGCAAAGGGATATACAAATTGTGGCATGGCTATAAAGCAGAACACTGCTTGGCAATAAAAAATAAATGCACTGGCCAGGCACGGTGGCTCATGCCTGTAATCCCAGCACTTTGGGAGGCAGAGGCGGGTGGATCACAAGGTCAGGAGTTCGAGACTAGCCTGGCCAATATGGTGAAACCCCGTCTCTAATAAAAATACAAAAATTAGCCCAGCATGGTGGTGGGTGCCTGTAGTCCCAGCTACTCGGGAGGCTGAGGCGATTCACTTGAACCTGGAAGGCTGAGGTTACAGTGAGCTGAGATCATGCCATTGCACTCTAGCCTGGCCGACACAGAGACTCTGTCTCAAATAAATAATAAATAAATAAATAAAATAAAAAATAAATGCACTACTGGTAAAAGCAACATGGAAAAATCTCAAAAGTACACTAAGTGACAGAGGCCATATGTAAAAGGCTACATACTATACAATTTGTGTAATTTCATTTATGTGACAGTATAGAAAAGGTAAAATTATAGGGACAAAAAAAGAGATCAGTGTTTCCTAAGGTCTTAGAGTAAAAGACGGAATATACAGCAAAGGGGCATTGGAACTTTCGCTGATGAAGGAAATGTTTTACATTTCAATTAGAGCAATGGCTAAATGACAATATACATTTGTCAAAATTCACCTAACTATACACTTTTAAAGGATGTATTACATTGTAAGTAAATTATACCTCAATAAAAAGGGCATACACAAAAAGTGACATGCCATTGAATATAAGGAAACTATACAAAAATCAGTTGTATTTTTCTATACAAGCAACTAATAAAAACTGACATTTTTAGAACAAAACATCATGTACAACTGCATCAAAAATATCAAAGAATAACTCTTTAAAAAGATGTGTGAGATCTTCACACTGAAAACTGCAAAACATTGATAAAAATCAAAGACGAAAAAAGGGATAAACCCTATTCATGAATTGGAAGACTCAAATACTGTACAGATATCAACTATCCCAAAATTGATCTATAAATTCAATATAATCCCAATTTTAAAACTTATATGGAAATACAAAATGCCTAGAAAAAACAAGGCAACCTCAATAAACGAAACTGGAAGAACTATATTACCAGACAGCAAGACCTATCATAAATTACTTATAAAGTACTTAAGACACACATTATTTATCCTGCACAAGGGTAAATAATAGCCCAATGGAATGAAACAATGTCCAGGCCTACACATGTACAATTAGCTGATTCTCAGTCAAGACTTCTGGCAATTCAGTGGGAGAAGGGATGGCATTTCCATAAGTGGTGCTGCACCAATTGGTTATTCATATGGGAAAAAAAAAGACAATCTTGTCCTCTACCTCACAACACATGCTAAAATCAATTCCAGATAAACTGTACATCAAAATTTAGGAGAAAGAACAATAAAATTTTAAAAGAAAATAAGAGAAGATCCACATGATCTTGAAGTAGGCTAAGGCAAAGCACTGATCCAAAGGAAAAATGTAATGAATTGGACTATTTTAAGAACTTCTACTCTTCAAACGATGCCATTAAGAGAGTGAAAAAGTGAAATTAGAAATATACATACATACAGCAAAAGATTTTTATCCAGGAAATTTCAGTTACTCCCACAAATAAGAATAAAAATAGACCCACAGCACAGAAGAATTGGACATAGATTTAAACAGGTATTTCACCAAAGAGGACATCCAGATGGCCAACAAGCATATAAAAATGTGCTGAACATTATGTCATTAAGGAAATGCAAATTAAAACAAAAAGGTACTACCATGGACCCACCAGAATGGCTAAAATGGAGAGTTAACAATGGTGATGTTGTAAAAGGTGCAGAATAACTGACACCCTCATATCTTCCTGATGAAAGTGTACACGACTACTGAATTTGGGGCTGTATCCATTAAAGCTGAACATCTGCAAATATATAACACCAATTCCATTCCTGTATATATATATATATCCAACAGCAACATGCACCTATGTGCACCAAAAGATATATAAAAGACTATTCATAGCAGCATTATTGTTAATAGAGAAAAAGTGGGAAAGAAGTGAAATGTTTACTAAACACTCAATGGATAAGATGATACGTTTATACAATGGAATACCAGATAGCAACAAAAATGAAAAAAATCACGACCATATAAAAAAACATGAATTAATCTTATAATGTTGCACAAATGAGGGCAGGCACAAAAGAATACATAAGCTATTGTCCCATTTATTTAAAGATCAAACATAGGCAAAATGAACATATGGGGTTAGAAGTCAAGATAGTGGTCAAATGTGAGAATGAAGTAGTGAATGGGAGGAGGCAGACAGGGCTTTTCAGATGCTGGTAGTGATCTCAGTAGGGGCTACAATGACATTTCACTTTATGAAATTTACTTTGTGATAATTCACCAAACAATACACTTAAAATTTGTGTGTTTTAATGTTTGCATGTTATTCTCCAAGTTTTTAAAAATTAGACAATTCTATATGTTAACAGAAAGAACTCCAATATGTGTGTGGTTTAATGAAAAGAAACCACCATTAAATAGTGCACTACACAGAATACTACCATTTTGTAAAAACAGTAATGAAAAGGATATATGTTTGTGTACTATAATCATAATGGCAACATTTACTGAAAGCTAACTACTTGCTAAGGTACTGTGCTAGGCACTTTTCATGCCTTTTATCATTTATTCCACTCCACATTATGAAGTAGGTAGTATTATAACTCTTATTTTATGAATGAGAAAACTGAGGTACAGAGATATCAAGTAACATGCCCATGGTCACCAAGCCATAAAGCTGAAAAACGGGCACTGTAACCCAGGCTCTCCAGATCCACTCTTCCCCACCACACTCTCCCTAGATAGGCACATGAGAAACTGGCAATGGGGTGCCTCTGAGAAGGGATCTGGGGATTAGAAGGCAGGCTGAGAGGAAGGCTGGCTTATCATAGCATACTCTAGGTACCTTTTGAAGGAATACATTTGCATGTCTTATCTATTATCTAAAAAGTACTTATTTACAATATTTTTCTATGGTCTATAATTTCTGATTTATACAAAATTGCTTTATCCACAAGGTAAGCATAACTCACTGTTTTATTACTTTACCTGATTTAGGATGCAAAGCATCACACTGGGCATTGTACATGTGTACAAATTCTTGGTGCCTTTTAATGAGCTGTTGTTTATTTCCTTGAATAGATAATCCATGCTCTTTTAGCTTTTTCTTTAAATCACGATCAGAGAGCAAATTATATACAGTTTTGGGCAGCGGTTTCCTTTTGTGAACAGAACTGAAAAGGGGGGAAGATCCCTGATGATTATTGTGAATTATCAAATGCTTTTCATGTAAAATGGCAAACACATTCTGATTCAACAACTGGGTACCTGGAAAAATAGTAGAACCATTAGATTAAAAAAGGGAGAGAAAAATCAAGTTTGCAGATAAAGCTGAGTGTCTGACATGATGCATCTGAGGTGCTGGTGAGATATTCAGACACAGGGGCCTAGGTGGCACCAGAAGTGAGAGACTTGGGTCTCAAAAAGATGTCAGACCTAAAGAGGCACACTAAGAAGGCAGATATGTAAGGCTTGTGGAATATGCTATGAGGACTTCATCTAGAATCACACTTACACAGACCTACTCAATTTTCCACCTCTTTAAAGCATGCTAGAAATTCTGATGGGCTAAAATTCAAGCTACCTAAAAGTACCAATGACTTGAGACAATTCCATAAACAGGAACTTTTTAGTGAGTTTTAATTCATTTCATCTGATTATAGCAGGTTCTCTACCTGGCTCAGCTTTATGGCAATTAGATGCTCAACAAAAATGTGCTCAAGGAGGTCATTACACTTGCTATCATTTCAAAATAAGAACAGCAAAGATTCAGGTGAAAATTAACAGAAACTTGAAATAATAGGTTTATCAAAAAAACAAGTTTTTACAAAGGATTAGCATATAACTAGCTCACACAAGGCTGTCCCAAACATTAGTGTACCTAAGAAGCACCTAAAGAGTTCATTTAAAATGCAGATTCTCCATCCCCTTCTCCACACCATCCACCAATTGTGGTTCGGTCTGAAGTGGAGATCTAAAATCTCTATTTTCAACAAGGTTCTCCAGAGTAAATCTGATATAAACAATCCGATAATCAAATAGAGAAATATTACAGTCAGGTATAGACTGAAAACAATCAAAAATTTCTCTATTAACCAACAGGGCCATTCCCCAAATAAATTATGTCTTTCATGCTGTATTAATGAAGTCTAAAAGCCAGAAATAACTAATTAAATGTGAAAAGACCTGCAAACTCTCGATAGATTATATTTTTCTGAAAATTGCTCTTCTTACAATGACAGTCCATCAGACTCTACAAGACTGATAAAATTACAGCAAAATGAAATCTCAGTAGGTAGCAACAGCTGAATCATTTTGTGTTTACAGAAGCACACAGGGAGAGATGATTCATTAAGTCTGTATCTAAAATATTTGTTTTATCAAGGATAGATGATTAAACTATGACTGTGAGATTCTAGTGAGGAACTGTACTGTTCATTGGCATTTACAATAAAAAGCACCACTAGAGATCAATTTCTATCAGGAATTTTAAAACATGAAACCCAATAAATGTTTCCCCAAACACGAAAATGACATTGATTTTTCTTCCGTGATTTAGTGGAACTGAGTAACACATTTAAGGGGCCTCAGAATCTGAGGACAGCAAAGGAAGGGTGCATCTGCGATCAGTTCTGACATGGTTTTATATAGAAAGGTTAAGGGCTGCCACTCACATTCAGCAGATGGCCTGTCAGAATATTGTGGAGGAGATAAGAAAACTCACAGGGCCTCTTCTCTATGACCCGACTCTGGGGCCAGGATACAACTAAAGAACAACATGGCCCAGTGTTGCCTTCAGTATCTCCACAAACACCAGTTTTGTAAGATGGAAATGATGAGGACAGAAAGGCTTGGCAGTCAAATAAATTTAGGAATTACTGAATTAAACAAAACCTAACAGTTACGCTTAACGTAGGACTTCTCAAAGCCTTTAATACACTAAGAGGGGGATCCAGGAGATGGTGCTTGTAAGTTCACTACAGAGCACTGGCAGGACTATACCATTCTTTGAAGCAGGAATTTAAACCACTATTAGAACTTAATTACACATGGACGAGTATGTCTTTAAATAAACTGACAGCATCAAAAATGATGTATCAGAAATGTATTCAAACTGATGGATGGATCTAGAAAAAGGGGAGTCCAGGCAAGATAATCAGCGCAGATTCCTTATTCTTCAAAGAATATACTCAGCTTCTATATTCCCAACTCATGCATTTCTAAAGAGAAAAGCAGGTCATCAAACTCTCGTGGCTTATGGGAAATAATCCTTAGGACTATTCATCTACTCCAAATCGCCACTAACTAAGCAACCTAAAAATCTAAATTTTATTCTCATCAACAAACTTACCCACTAGGTGGGAGTATTGTGCATGCAAAACTGCCCCAGGTTTGGACTCAAATATGTCTACCATTTTTAATAAAGCAACACTGTGTTTTATATGTTAGCTTTTGTAAGTTATAACAGCATGAATTTGACCCTCAAAATCTGCATTCACTCCAAATTTACTCATAAAAATTAAGTGATTATTTTCTTTAATCACAAAAAATAATACTATGGCTCTGTCTTATTAACGTGGTTTTTGGAAAATACTCTTCAAAGTCCTTCAAAACAGACTGAACATAGAAGCAAATCATTCTTTCATCCCCACTTCCCAAATACCATTAATTTCTTCAGCTTCCCTCCTCTTCTTTTCCAGATCTCTCTGAATTGTCACCTATTATCTTCCCCTTGCCTCCTGTTTCAGAAGGGTCCTTTCTGCATATCAAGGATAACCTCATTACTGGGCTCTTGTGCTCCTCACTTTCTTCCATTTATCCTCTGCTCTCTCCCTGGAAATAGTGGAAGGAAAGAGACTGAAGGCTTAAACTCCTATTTTTAAAAATAACATCCCTTGATCTTTATGCCACTCACTCCTTCTCCAAACTACCATCTCATCTTTCTCCCTTCATCACCAGACTCATCTAAATTGTGTCTTCTGTTTATTATCCACTGATTCCTTAATGCCTTGCAATTTGACTAGTATTTCATTCCTGAACAACTTATATGTCTAACAATAGTGGGCAAGTATAAGAAATTACAGTTATTTTCATGTACAAAGGAGGTAGAATAGCACAGTTGTTTAGATGCAAATATTGAGCTGACAATTTATTAGTAACAATACCTGGATGGTGTGGGTGTGGGGTGGGGTACGACATTACATTTCATATATGCATTTTTGTACCTTTTTATATCATATATATTTATATAATTTCCTAGTCAAAAATTTTTGAAAAATTCGGTTTTAAATTTTAAAACTCCTGAGCATCCTAAAGATCAGAGACAGATTTTCTATATTCTATATTCAGAGTCTAATCTTGCTTTCTTTGGCCAAGAAGCTTTTTAGTAGTTTTAAAATTCTAAGAGAAAAAAACAAGTTTAAAAAGAATTGAATTTGAAGTCATTAATTTCTTATTAAATCAAAATTTAGTAGCAGTTCAAATATTCAACATAGCTAATCATATCTGGCAAAGTGGGAGTTGAAGAAAGAACAGAGAGGGATTGGAAGAAGTGGCCAACAGGAGTGAAGGAGAAAGCAAGTAAGAGCAGGAAATACGGTTACCAGGATAAAATGAATACTGTAATTTTCCCCCAAGTTTATAAAGCACAAGAGGCACCCAGCTAAAGTAGCTCAATGGTTCTGCTCAACGTCCTTACCTTCTGAGGCTTTCCTTCTTCTCTTCGCGTGATAAACAGCTGTCTAAATGCGTATTAATGTGACTTTCTGGAATATTAACCCCACAAACAGGACAATCCACTGTATTTTTTAAAAAGAAAAAGAGAGTATTAATTGTAGAAGGGGCAAAAGTATGTAAACTGGCATCTTTTCAGCAAGTAAAGTAAAAAAGAATCCCAACTTAACATGCACTTAGAAAAGCAGAAAAGAAAAAGAACGGCCCGTCGGGACAACAGGAGTGGGACAGACTGGTTACTGGGTAATGGCTAAATTGTGGGAAGTCACACAATTGAAGTCCTGGTCCCAGAGAAAGAGACTGCAAATAAGCTTGAAAGTTTATTAGAAAATGCTTCGGTTAAATCTTTTCTAACAAGGTATGACCAAACTATAGAACTAATCTTAAATTTTCCCAAGCCTTAGGAGCTATCCATGTTTAGCATAGAAGCAATAGTAACAACTTAAGACACACCTGGCCCAGGGGCTGGGTGAAGGAAAGGTAGTTTAGTAATTTATTGAGTTGGGCCAACTACTGTTCAATTTTGTCAATTAAACAAATTTGTTAATTTAGCTCTCGTTTATAATTCTATACATAATGTTAAAAGTAAGGAACACAATCATTCTCAAACTATTTCATAAAGTTGCAGGGATCTGTGGGGGTAATTCGGGCCTACAGACCTTCATGGATAATAGGCAGAAGGAGATCAGGTGAAACAGAACAATCTGTTTTATCTATTTTAATATGTTACGGTTTATTGTAAAATTTCATTTGGGAAAAAAGGTTCTGCTAGGGGAAAAACAGTTAACCATCAAGCTAAAAAATACTACAATAAGAACTGTCAATTGGTAAAAAGACTAAGGATAGACATAGTAGAAAATATAAGTGTAATTTATATATCTTTAAAAGTTGTAAACACGTTAAGTACTAATAAACTAATTTCAATCTAAGTTTAATAAACACTCACATCTCTGCACTGTGTGTGGTATGGGTATACCAAAGATGTCTAAGAGTTTCTGCCTAAAAGGTGCTCTAAACTTCACTGGAAAGAAGACACAGAAACAAAAGGTTAAACAAGCTGACATATTCATCAAACAGTTAAGCAAATGGGACACAAAACACTCCAGAAAACAAGTGCTATAGCACTTTTGTGACGTGAGACAGTGTTTTCTAACATAACAAATGAATAGTGAGGATCTGGATAGTCTGTAAAGGTACAGAACAGGGACCGGCAAACATTCTTAGTGAAGGGCCAGGTAGTGAAGGGCCAGGTAGTGAAGAGCCAGGTAGAATTTAGACTTTACGGATCATATGGCCTCTGTCACAACCATGCAACTCTGCCACTGTAGCATGAAAGCAGCCACAGACATATGCAAACAAATGGGTACGTGAACTTTTATTTACAAAAACAAGTGGCAAGCCAGATTAGCTCTGCCAGTTGTAGTTTGCCAATTCCTCAATGTACTGGAGGAACAGTGGGGATATCAGCTTGGCTAGAGCAGGACTTCTGAGAGGGAGAGGTGAGCAATAAGGCGGGATGACTAGAGTAGGGCTCAAATTGTCAAAGGCTTTACATGGCAGGTAGAATAGTGAGGAGGCATTCACGTGGTGGTAAAATAAGATAAAAAGAGCTCTTCAAGATTAAATGGCAACAGATATGTTGAATGGGGGGAAGAAGGGTTAAAAGCTGAAAACAGAAAGCTACTGCCATACTGAAAGCCTGAACTAATTAAAACTGTTTCCTTTTTGTAGCAGTCAGTCTGAATTCCTATTTCTGAGAGAGAAAGAGAACAAACATACCTACAACAATGTCTGAGGTTTGTGATACAGTAAAATCTTGTTTGTCCTTTACCATTCCTTCCCCCTCAAAGATGCTGCCTTGCTGCCTATTTATTCTTATGTCGTGTGGATGAAAAGATTTCCATATTTCCACATATGAAAATAACCTCCTACCTTTAGTAATGTGTTTCAAAGTGGATGTCGAGGGTGTCTCAGGACGCTTAACCTCTGAGGGATCTGGAGCCATCTCTTCTACAGAACGTGTCTCTTTGGTCTTTGCAGCAGGGCTTGCCTCTTTTTGAGGGGTGAATTTGCTTTTATTTTCTTTTATCAACAACTCTGATGTAGAACCACTCATTTCTCTGATCAAGAAATTATCCATTAACCTGCTCCCCTGCTTTAAAGACTGTCTGGAGGCGACAGGAGTATATACTTTGACAGCAAGACTCTTTGAAGAGGAAGAAGCAGGAGATTTGGGTGGTGACTCTAAAGCAAGCTGCAATAGATGATTCCTTGAAGAACAAAAAACACAACAGATGATTAAGATATCCAATTTTATACAATAAATTAACTGACATAAGCTGTTTTCCCAATTAACCTTGTTTTCTGAAATACAGGACCTATACTATAATGACAACCAAACCAATGTTTCTTCTAGTATAACTCAAAGCAATAAATCTAACTTAAAAAGCAGTTAATGTGTCAATAAAACAAAATGAAATGAAATCAGCTTTCGGCCACAGAGAAGAGCTTATATGAGACCTAATCTCCAACCATAAGTAACTTTAAAATCTGAACAAAATATAGGGATATAGTCTGGATGTTGTCTCCACCAAATCTCACATTGAAATGGGATTCCCAGTGTTGGCGGTGGGACCTAGTGGAAGGTGACTGTATCATGAGGGTGAATTTCTCATGAATGGTTTAGCACCATTCCCTTACTGCTGTCCTTGTAATAGTGAGTGAGTTCTCATAAGATCTGTTTTAAAAGTGTGTGGCACCTCCCCTCCTCTCTCTCTTGCTCTCACTATGTAATATGCTGCCCCTGTCTTTTGTTTTCCACTGTGATTGTAAGCAGCCCAAGACCTCACTAGAAGCCAAGCAGATGGTTTGTACAGCTGCAGAACCATGAGCCAATTAAACCTCTTTTCTTTGTAAATTACCCAGCCTCAAGTTTACTTTATCATTCTTTACATTACTTAGCAATGTAAGAATGGCCTAACACACATAAAAAACAACTCTTTGTAGGCACTGGACTGAAATCAACACAAGGCTGCAATGCCTGAAAAAGAAAACATGAAGTAATCCAACATTTCCTCCAAGACTTTACCCTGGAAACATTTTCTAGGAATTGGGTATTAATGTGAAGTCTAAACAGGAAACATTGATCTTACTTGGTAGAGAAAATAAGAGATCAGAGTTCTGGGCAAAGCTGGCCAGGACTGAGGGGTCAGAGTGCTTTGACATGCGGCAGCTACTGAAAGGGAATGCCAGAAGTCTGCTTAGAAATTCACATCCATTCCTGCTCATCTCCAGGGCTGCACACGATTAGACAAAAACACAGGAGACCCACTAGGAGGCTGATACTGGTAAATTAAAATCCCAAAGGTCATTGCTGGAAAGTTAGTTGTTCTCAGCCAAAGCTGAGAAATCTTGGCGAAGATCATGGACATTCAAGTGAGATCCCACAAAGGCCACACCTTAGAAAAATGGACCACATTGAAGAAATACAAACAAAGCTCAAACAGACTTAACCTAAGAAAACATTATACCAGGCCTTGAAAGAACAAAGATGAAGAGCTAGTGATTCAACTGCCTGTTAGAACAAAATGTGTCATCTTTCAAAAGAAGACAATTCACAGCTTCTACAACATTTCAACCACAATGTTCAGCACACATTTTAAAATTACTGAACATGCAAAGAAGCAAGAAAAAGTAGCCACTAATCAAGAGATAAAATATTCAATAGAAGCAGACCCAAAGGTAATCCAAAGAACAGCATTTCTAGGTAAGGACTTCAAACTATGATAAACATGTTAAATAAAAAAAAAAAAAGAAAGAAAGAAAAAGAAAAAGGATAAAAAGATAGCGCATTATGACAAATAAAATCCATCAAGAAAAGAATAAAATGAACCTTCTACAATTGCAAAATACCTTATCTAAACTGGATGAGTATAACAACACACAATACAAACTTGAAGGCAGGTCAATAGAAAATATCCAAACTAAGCACAGAGAGAAAAATTAATGAAAAAGACAGACACCAAAAAGTATGAGATATTGGGCATAAGTAGAAGCCCAGAGGAATAGAAAGAAAGAATGGAAAATCAGCAATACTAGAAAAATCAATGGCTGAGAATTTTCAAATCTGATGGAAAAAAAATCAACCCATAGATTCCACCACTACAGAATTTACATGAAACTCAACAACAGAAAGATAACTAGAAAATCTCCAAATGTTAAGAAATAAAGCACCACACTTCTAAATAACCCCACATGTCAAATCACAATGAAAACTAGAAAATATTCTAAACTGAATGATAGCATGAAAGGTTGCCAAAACTGTCCCTGGAGGGAAAATTATTGAAAATAGAAAAAGTAAAAGCCACTACTCTAAGCTTCCAACTTAAAAGGTTAGGAAATGAACAGCAAACTAAACCCAAAGAAGGGAGGAACTAATAAGAGATACTAGTGAAACAGAAGAGATATCAGGAGAAAACAAGCAAAGCCAAATGTTGGTTCTTTGAAAAAAATAACAAAATTATTAATCCCTACTAAGACCGAACATGAAATAAATGAGAAAATACAAATTACCAAAACAAAGAATTAAAAGACCTCATTACAAATCCTATAGAAAAGATAATTAGAGGACATTACGAATACTTTAAAACAACAAATTTTAAATTTTAGATAAAATGAAAGGCACTATTCATCAAAACTGACAAACAGAAAACCTGAAGAGTCCTTATTATCTATTAAATAAACTGAAGCTATAATTTAAAACTTTTCCACAAAGAAAACTCCAAGCCCAGATGGCTTCACTGGTAAATTCTACCACATATTTAAGGAAGCTTTATTTATATTTCTTCAGTGTGGACATGGTAGCACATGCCCATAGTCCTAGCTAATTGGGAGGCAGAGGCAGGAGAATCCCTTGAGCTCAAGAGTTTGAGGTTACAGTGAACCATGATCACACCACTGCACTGCAGTCTGGGCAACAGAGCAAGAAGGGAGGAAAGGGAGGAAGGGAAGGAAGGGGAGGGAGGAATAGAGGGGGGAAGGAGGAATAGAGTGGGGAAGGAAAAAGGAGGTGGGAGGGAGAAAGGAAAGGAGGGAGAGAGAAAGGAAAGGAGGAAGGGAGGGAGGGAGGCAGGGAGGAAGGAAGGGAGGAAGGAAGGAAGGAAGGAAGGAAGGAAGGAAGGAAGGAAGGAAGGTCTTGTCCATCTGTGAACTATACAATAACCTTACCCCTTCAGAATGGGGCTAAGAATCAAGAGTCAAAATAGGCCTTTGGGTAGACATGAGTAGCCATTAAACCTATGCAATCAATTCCATAGACTTCTGTAACTAAAGTCCCCGCAATGCTAGTTCTGATCAGAAACATGTAAACAGCAGTCTAGAACCATTTGGCTACACAAGCAGAGGCCCACCCAAACACAAATTCTTTTTATAGCATCTTAGGGTATCAACACTATTGAAAATATAGGCAATATATAATAATAATAATAATAATAATAATAATAGGAATATTTTTAGGTTCCTTTGTTCTAGGTATTATGCTGGATATCTTTTACTATAGCTCTTCATTTCTAATCCTCAAGGCATCGACAGTATTATTCTCATCTTTTTAGATAAGGAAACAGGAGTCAAAGAGATTAAACATCTTGATCACAATCACATTAGAACTAATAGGGCCTAGACCAATGCCCAGTTCTGCCTGAATTCAACATCAGTATGCTTTAAACTGTACAATAAAAAAGGTGAAATTATATTCTACTTCCTCTTTGTGAGTTGCTGAGGGAATTTTACTTCAATTGTCATCTAAAATGTTTAAATTCTTAAACTTGGAGTATTTGCAGAAAAACTTATCCCTTAATGGTGGATAAACAAAAGCAGTAAATGATGCTCTCTACTCTCAATTTGTGAAAATAATAAGAGATGGACACTGACTACAAAAACAGAGAAACAGCATTCACTTAAGTCAAGAATGATGCTACACTTACACAAAAATATTCTAATAAATGTTCAACAACAGGTTAAGAACATTATTTTAAATAAAACTAAGTCAAGGAAAAAATCATGTGTTCTTTGAAAATAAAAGTAAAAGATCAGATGAAAATGTAAGAGCTGTATGCAGCCTTGTATCTGAAAACCTCTAAAATTATTTCCAATATCCTTTTTATATTATTAAATTTAGAATATTAAATATTTAAAAATCATAATGGCACATAAAATGACAATGACAAATGAGAATGCCAAGAAATGAAATTGACAGACAATATAAATATCTTATATTTTGGTCATAGGATTAAGTTTCCTCCCTCATAAATCTTAAACCACAGTTCAAACAAGTAATGAAATTGACTAGCTTGAATTTCATCCCTCCTAAGTTTGCAAATGAAGAACCACAACACTTTACCCATGACAAATGTTCACCACAAGGATGATGCTAGGAAGAGCAGCAATTCCAAGAAGGCAAACAGAGAGAGGAACAAACGATATAAACCATCCCAACTCTACAAATAATGCTTCCCACCCTACTACACCCACTATAATGAATAATTAAATCATGTATTCCTTTCGGGAAGGAGAGGGGACAGAGGAGAGGTCAACCATTCCATGACCTCCCTCTAAGTTACACCAAAAGGTCTGTGAATCCAAAGACCTTGATCACTTCTCTTCAACAAACAGATGCTGTTATATGCAAGGCTTCCTTTATCCTAGCAGGGAAGTTGTTATGTTTTTAGTACTGGCTGAGGAAAAAAAAAAAGCCTTGAGAAAAACAGGCAATCAATTCCCTTTTAAAGGCATGGTCCCTTCCTCTCATAGATTTCAAAAACTTACTGGTGAAAAATGCTAAGAAAAAAAGTAGCTTTAATTGGGAAAATCAGAGAATTTTAAAGTTTCTTAATCTAGGAAAGTATGCTATCTTTTTTAAACTACACCATCTTTTTTTCCGTAAGGAAATAACTAACCAGCCAATCTCTAGGACGTACATGAAGTTAGCTCAGAGTACAGTCGGCCCTTCACATCTGCCAGCTCCGCATCTGTGGATTCAACTAATCACAGAGCAAAAATGTTCAAAAAATAATAAAAGTAACAATACAACAATAAAAAATATATAAATTTTAAAAACACAGTATGACGACGATTTATATAGCATTGTATTAGGGTAATCTAATATAAGTAATCTAGAGGTGATTTGAAGTATAAGAGAGAATGTCCATATGCAAATACTATGCCATTTTACGTCAGGGACTTCAGCATCCACAGATTTTGGTATTCTCGAGGGTCCTGGGACCAATCCCCTTGACTGAGCGACAACTGTACAAATTTGATCATTTTTAGAATGCAAACCAATAAACAAATGTGCAATTCTATTGAAAGAAATCTGTTTATATTTTTAAAAGCAACATAAGGTACCTCCAAGTATGTTCCAACAAGCCTAGAAGTCCCATCCGGTCACAAGCCGTATAATGATGCTTTGTTCAACAAGAGACCAAATACATGGTGATGGTTTCATTAGATGATAATGGAGCTGAAAAATTCCCATTGCTAAGTGACATCTTGATAATCCTATCCCTGTGTGGGCCTAGGCTAATGTGTGTGTTTCCATCTTTTTTTTTTTGAGACGGAGTCTTGTTCTGTCACCAGGCTGGAGTGCAGTGGCATGATCTCGGCTGACTGCAACCTCTGACTCCCTGGTTCAAGCGATTCTCCTGCCTCAGCCTCCCAAGTAGCTGGAATTACAGGCATGTGCCACCACACCCAGTGAATTTTTGTATTTATAGTAGAGACAGGGTTTCACTATGTTGGCCAGGATGGTCTCAAACTCCTGACCTCATGATCTGCCCACCTCAGCCTCCCAAAGTGCTGGTATTACAGGCATGAGCCACCAAGCCCGGCCTCCATCTTCATTTTTAAGAAAAAATTTTAAAAGGAAAAAATAATAACAATTTTTAAAACTAGAAAAAAGTTCACAGAATAAGGATATAAAAAAAGATGCTTCTACAGCTGTATGATGTGTTTGTGTTTTAAGCTACGTGTTATTACAAAAGAGTCAAAAAGTTAAAAAAAGTATACGTTTATAAAATGTAAAAGTTACAGTAAGGTTAATTATTGAAGAAACTTTTTTATAAATTTAGTGTAGTGTAAGTGTACAGTGTTTATAAAGTCTACAGTAGTGTACAGTAATGGCCTAAGCCTTCACATTCACTTGTCACTCACTCACTGACATCCAGAGTAACTTCCAATCCTGAAAGCTCCATTCATAGTAAATGCCCTATAAAGGTGTACGGCATTTTTTATCTTTTATACCATAGTTTCACTGTACTTTTTCTATGTTTAGATACGCTAATAGGTACCACTGAGTTGCAACTGCCTACCATATTAGCTATAGTAACATGCTGTACCGGTTTTGTTACCTAGGAGCAATAGGCCCTGCCATATAGACTAGGAGTGTAGTAGGCTACACCACGTTGGTTTGTGTAAGTATACTCTATGATGTTCACACAACAACCAAATTGCCTAATGACACATTTCTCAGAACACATCCCTGTTAAGCAACACATGATTACACTTAACTACAGGGGCACCTGACCACTATCTAAACACAGTACGTCCTTCATAAAAATTCTTGCTTGACTTGCATGATTAAAACTAAAAGTAATCCAAGATATTGAAACATGGCTTTTCATATCCCTTTCGGTGACCAAACTCACTTTCACACACTCATGCATTTGACAGTTAGGAAGTAAAGTTGCATATCTGAGCTTTATAAAGTACAAGCAACTACATATTTCAAATGCCATACCATTTAATACATGCTGAATAAATCGGATTAAGAATAGATTAATATATAGCAGACAGAATCAATTACAGATGTGTATATACATGAGTTAGTACATACATATACATAATATACATATATTACTTAGCTCTGCCCATTGAGAGGGCCTAGAAGCAATGACACCCCAGTAGCAACAAGCATACCCAGCACCAGATCCTGGTCTCTCAATGCTATTCTCCAATAGAAGGAGCTCCTTGGAGAAATGGCTGATTCTAGGGCTTGGGCAGGAAAAGGAGTATCTTTAGAGCACCCAAAAGTAAGGAAGCCCTCAAATCTGCATTTTAACTCTTAATTATTCTATACTACAGGAGAATTTCTGTTAAGTAAAGGAAGAAAATCTTACTCTAGTAAATTTTCCATGTGTGAATAATGACTACTGTTACTTCCCTTCTTTGACTATAAAATATGCAACCCTTTATTCCCTAATCCAAAGGTGCAGAAAGTAAAGAGAGAACACATATAAAAGGCAAAAGTAGTTAGAGGTTAGTCACAAAATTAAATCATACCGTGCAAAATTCAAGCTTTTTACCAGTTCATCTAATATGCGGTTATTTTTCAGATCCGGCTCTGTGACAGTCTAGAAAAAATAGACGGAAAAAGGTCAAAAACAATAATCAACTTGTCATAATCTTGTTTTTGAAAATGTCTGACCCATCCTCCTGAGGTTCGCCATCCCACTAAGTCTTCTAAGGCGGCCTCAAAATAAAGTTCATTTATCTCATGCTAATATGAAATTTTAAAACAGTGAATCAGTATCTGCTGACTGGAAGTCTGATAAAAGCTCTCCAAAGCTTCTCTTATAATCATATATATTCTGTACTGACTACAATCAAACCTAATATAAGCAAGAATCTTTCTTCAAAATGCCAGCACTCAGCTTTCTCAAAAATTTCTCTGGAAAAACAGAAGAGAAATGTTCTTTTAAGTACTAACATTGGGAGAGGCATTAAGTGTTCAAGGAGAATTTTAATATAAGAATGGTTTTCAGGAATGCAAGAGAAAAGTGATAAACCCAGTACTTATTTGGTATGAATAGTAACAGTTTATTTCAGTGATGAGACCATCTTGACAAAAGCAGTGTAACATATTGTAAACATCTTAGACTTGAGAGCCAAATCACAAAATTTCTTACACAGAGAAACAGTTTTGCAAGGTTCAGTGACACCCTGACACCACGTACCTACCAGAGAGGCAAAACTAACTAAACTCCTTACCTAGTCCTAGCGTCGGCTCTGTCAGACCTCACCTGTCTCTTCTTTATTCCCACTTATGTTTAATTACCCTTTTAGTCTGCTTTTCCACCTGTTCCCACTACCTCAAAAGTTTCAGAAACAATAACAACAAACTTCCTAGTGTTTTCCCTGAAGCTCTGGTAGGGGAAAGACCTAAGGGAACAGGTACGCTGGATTAAGTCCAACGGCCATGCATATTTTTCTGCACAAATACTTAGACCAGTTCTTTGCAAATGAATAATCCTACCATCAGAGTTTCTATCAAAGTGAGAAATTATTAAAAATTAGAAGCCATAAAAACATGGGTCATAAGAATTAAAGAGCGCTACATCCTGAACTTAAAATGAGTTTTTACTTCCTAAAATACATTTAGGTTTTCAGAAATCTTAACAAAAAACTGAACAAAGCCCAGCTCTTCTTACATGTACTTTAGAGGTCCTTTCCGAAAGTGTCTTTCATATAGCTTAATTCAGTAACTACACATCACCCTACATATACACAGGCTTTTATACATACACAAAGCAAAAATACTTGCAGTAGTCAGTAAGTTTTCAAAAAAGGAAACAAAAACTCACCACACAACAAGTTGGACACTGAGTCTTATAGGACAGAAATTTTCTTATACAGAGAGAGCAGTCTGCAAAACACAAAGTGCAACATAATGTTAACGAGGTTATACTAATACAGGAATATGACTTCTAACAAAATCTTAAGCCCTAGACTATTTCCATCATCTAAGGTATATCATCATAAGCTTAAATTTCTAGTACCTCTACTCTATGCACACTTACACATGTGATTAAACAGCATTTTAAGGAAAGGAAAACACAAATATTGTAAGTCCTTAGGATACCACAACTACACAAGCAACATACATCACTCTGTGTCCTCCATCTGCAAAATACAGGAAACACACGTGCAAGACTTGAGCTTGGTACTGTATAAACTTGCCAGGTATCTCTACTGCTTATCATTTGAAAATATAAATTTTGAAATAATATATATAAACATATTAAGAAAAAATATATACCCAGGTTATCAAATTAGGGACGTCTATATCTTAATTCTGTAAATAATATCCTCTGTCCCACATTTAACAAGTACTTTTGTGGCAGGCACTAAGAACAATATATATAAAGGAAGGTTCTTGACCTCAAGGAGCTAATAGTGAAGCATAATTCAGCATAATATAGCCTAACAATTTAAGCAGGAAATGGGCACAAACTAAATTCACAACACTCAAGGCAGTGTAAAATATTCTCCCGGTCAAAGAAAAAGCAGATGTGACTAACAGAATGGTACCTTACTAATTATCTAAGCTAATTTACTAGTAGCCCAAATTCAGCTGGATTCTGTTCAGTTGAGGAGGAGACAGTATAATTTCAGTATACTGTATAAATTCAGGATTCTGTTTAGTTGAGGAGGAGACAATATAATTTCAATGGTACGGATATCCAGGAAATAAGCAAGTCTTGCCAGCCTAAGTAAGAGCACCCCACGAGGAAAAACAAAGAAATACATTATGAAAAGGATAAAACAGACAACAGGTTGAGTTATTTTAGGAAGCAAAGATGAATACAGGGGACCAACTCGGCATGTAAGGGGCTTAGAAGTCACCACTCTGTCCTAACAACAAGTAAAAAGCTGAACAAACTGAAAAACTAACAACTTTTCTTAGATCCAGCAGAAAAGCAGGGTCACAGGGCAAACTGCTGCCCGCCGAACTGGGGAGAGACAGAGGTAATACAGAGAATCACAACTTACTGGAACAGAAACCCACAAACAGAAACCTCCATGGGAACCAGAGAAGAAACCTGTGCTGGAACCAGTGCTGGAGTGGGAGAACCTGAGCTGTAATTGACAAATTGCTGGCGGCTCAGTGCGGGCAAGTCTGAGCGTTAAAAATTCCAGGGAACCCTGTCATTGCAGAGGTGGGGAGGATGTCCTCATACTTCTGTGAGTTTCAGTTCCAGGAGTTCTTCTAAGTTCTCACAGTGAATATTGGAGAAAAACCCCCTAGTCATTACAGGAGTAGGAGGGTAAAAGTAACCATTTCTAAATAAGTCAGAGTAGTCTGTTTTTTTGTTTTTGTTTTTTTCCCTTTGAGACGGAGTCTAATTCTGTCACCCAGGCTGGAGTACAGTGGCACAATCTCGGCTCAGTGCAACCTCCACCTCCTGGGTTCAAGTGATTCTCCTGCCTCAGCCTCCCAAGTAGCTGGGATTACAGGTGTGCGCCACCACACCCAGCTAATTTTTGTATTTTTAGTAGAGATGGGGTTTTGCCATATTGGCCAGGCTGGTCTCAAACTCCTGACCTCAGGTGATCGCCCACCTCGGTCTCCCAAAGGGCTGGGATTACAGGTGTGAGTCACTGCACTGGCCCAGAGTAGTGTGTTCTTAACAAAGCTCCCCCTCAGGAGAAACTATTTTACCAGAGCCTAATCAACTGGAGTTTTATCAGAGCCTAGCTGACTTTGGAAAAAGGAAATACACAACTGCAGCCCTCTAGACTGCAGACAGACAGCCCTCTATCCTGTCCCATCTAAGGAGGGGAAAACTGAGGAGCACTAGTGACATTCACAGTCCAGGGCAAAGTTCGCTAAAAGACCTAATCATAGGACTACAGAATGTGTCCCCTCTGCCCATACCTAAAGGCCTATTTACTGCAGTTCTTTTTACCCAGTACATCATTTCCAGTTATTAAGAAAAAAATCACAAGGAAAAACACACAGTTTGAAGAAACTGAGCAAGCATCAGAACCAAAGTCAGATATACCAGAAATGGTTAAATTATCGGACCAGCAATTTTTAAAAATTATATGCTAAGGGCTCTAATGGAAAAAGTAGACAACATCAAGAACAGATCGGTAACATAAGCAGAGAGGTGGAAATTCTAAGGAAGCATCAAAAAGGAATGCTAGTGATCAAAAGAACCACTATAACAGATTGCCTTTGATAGGTTCATTAATACATTGAACACAGCTGAGGAAAGAATCTCCGCACTTTAGGACATGTCAATGGAAACCTCCAAAACTGAAAAGCAAAGAGAAAAGAAAAGACAGGAAAAATGGAATAGAATATCCAAGAACTGTAAAATAACTACAAAAGATGTAACATACACATAATGGGAATACCAGAAAGAGAAGAATGAAAGGAACAGAAGAAATAGTAATGGCTAATAATTTCTCCAAATTAACGTTAAACACTAAACTACTCATCCTGGAAGATCGGAGAACACTAAGCAGGATAAACGCAAAAACAAAACAAATAGGCACCTCAGCCAATCAAATTGAAACTACATAGAATCAAAGATAAAGAAGAAATCTTGAAAGAAGCTGTAGTGGGGGCCTTACCTACAGAGGAGCAAAGAATGACACTTGACTTCTCACAAACCACACAGAGAGTGCAGTGAAATATTTAGTGTTGAGAGAAAAACATCACCAACCTAAAACTATATCCTGAGAAATTATCCCTCAAAAGTCAAAGAGAAATAAGGACTTTCTCAGACAAATACAAATTGAAGCAATCTATTTTCAGTAGACTTCCCTTGCAAGAAATGCTAAAAGAAATTCTTCAGAGAGGAGGAAAATAATTTAGGTCAGAAACTCCAATCTACATAAAGAAAGGAAGAGTACTGGAGAAGGAATATGTGAAACTGTAATAAAAACTTTTTCTTGTTAATTTAACAGATAACAGTTTGTACAAAAATAATAACAAAGTATTCAATTATGGATGCTTATTACGTATACATATATAAAAATGCATGCTTATGAATGCTTATGCATAAGTGAAATGAATGACAGCAATGGTACAAAAGACTAGAGGAAAGAATTTCTTAGCTCGAGCTGCCATAACAAAATACCACAGACTGGGTAGCTTAAACAACAGAAATTGTTTTCTCATGGTTCTGGAGGCTAAAAGTCCAAGATCAAGGTGCCAACATGGTCAGTTTATGCTGCAAGCTGTCTTTCTGGTCTATAGACAACCACCTTCTCACTGTGTCCTCCCACGAGGGGGTGGGGAGAGTCCATAAGCTCTGGTATCTCTTCTCATACGGACACTAATCTCATCACTAGAGCTCCACTTTCATGACCTAATTTAAACCTAATTATCTCCCCAAGGCCTCATCTTCAAACACCAACACATTGGGGTTGGGGCTTCGACATAGGACTTTAGGGGGAGATAAAATTCACTCCATAGCATTCCACCTTTAACCTCCCAAATTCATGTTCTTCTCAAATGCAAAATACATCCATACCATCTCAACAGCCCCCAAAGTTTCAACTTATTCCAGTACCAACTCTAAAGTTTAAAATCTAAAGTCTCATCTAAATATCACCTAAATCAGATATGGATGAGACTCAAGGTATGAATCGTCCTGAGGCAAAAATTCCTGTCCAGACTCATTCTCTTAATTACCAATGCTATTCTCTTTATACTAAAAGAGTCTCCTGAGCAATACTGTAAGTCAAGAAATCCTAAAATCTGGCTGCTCAGCTCAGTCACCTAGGGAGATTCATGTTGGTTTTAACTTAGTTTCCCAGACTCTACCCCCAGTCACAGTGATTCAGTGGATTTTGGTCAGTAAATCACATCCTTAATATGTGATATTGATTCAACAACAACAATTTTTTAAAAATTAATAAGTTGTTACTATTAAGTCGAATTATATGAAACTGACATTTTTGGTTAAGTCAAAAATGGACAAATATTGCAATTTCATGTGGTTCAAACAAACACTGCACTTAGTATGTGCTCTGTTCTAAGCACTTTACATGTATTAACTAGTTTGATCCTTACAGCAACCCTGAGGTTGGTACCAATATTAGTCACATTTGACAAGAAGGAAAAATGAAGCCCAGGGCTCAGCCAACTTGCCAAAGATAACGGAACTAATGTGTGGCAAAGGCAAGCACCACAGTCCATACTCTTAATATATTTTTTAATATACTTTTTAAATACACTTTTTAAAAATATACTTTTAATATATATTTTTAATATACAGTTCATACTCTTAATATGTTTACTTAAAATTACAGATGCTCCTTGACTTAACATGGGATTACATCCCAATAAACCCATCATAAATTGAAAATATCATAAGCCAAAATGTATTTAATATACCTATCTCTAACCTGGGAAAAGATTAAAATTCAAAATTCAAAGTATGGTTTCTATTGAATGTGTATCACTTTCACACCACCGTAAAGTTGAAAAATCCTAAGTCAAATCATCGTTAAGTCAGAGACTGACTATATCTATAAATATTTGTTTATAATAAATATATACTGTATGTTTACACTATAAATAATGTATATGTATATAAATATGTACCATGTATAGTTATATTATACTTATACAACATATTGTGTATATATATTATATATACATGTTACTATTGTACCTATATATAGTATAAGTATATTATATATTATGTATACTTACATCAATTAAATAATATTTAATTAATAAGGTCACATGTGCCTTTTAAATTAATTTTTATAATAAGGCTGCTGCTTTCTCTTCTGCATAATCTTGTATATGTTTCCTTTCCTTTCCTTTTCTTTTGAAATGCAGAGAATCAGATATGGAGTCCTGAGTAGATCAAGCCCTAGGCTTAATTTCAGTCTACTAGA